CCATCGTTCGCTCTTTAGAGAACTGTGTCTCTCTCCAGGGGCCGGGATTCCCACCTGGCCGCCTTCCCCGGGTCCCCCATGGGTGACCATAGTGAGTCCCCGGCCGCGGGGTCAGGCAGGGGCGAGCGGTATCGAAGAGAAACAGGCTGCCTTGGAAGAAGCCGGCAAAATCTGACAGACAGCTGATTGCTGTCAAATAATAATACTTTAAACAAAATGGTTATTCCCCGAGTGCAGGAGTCCAAAATGAGGAAAGCGAGATGGCAGTTAGTCTTAGAATTAATAGCAGAAAAATACAAAATTAGAACGGTGTCAATCCACCATATTACTGTTTTAGTGGTTACTGGGGTCCAAAATGGCGGTTTCGGTATCCGCGATTTTGCCGAACGCAGATCCGGGGTCCGGGGGGGCCAGTAGGCACCCCCCAGCAGGCTCACGGCTCTCCGGAGCCTGGAAAAAGGTTTATTTTAATGTTGAATTAGTCTGAGGCAGGGAAAGATACAAAAGTATCAAGCGGAAAGATTAAGTGTTGCAAGTTTCAAGTACTTTTATTAGGGCTTGTTACAAGGTAGGGAGAGGGGGAAGCAGAGAAAGGCTGCAGGCATTCTTATTATTGAGCTGCCTGCTGGGGCACATTTCATCAGTTTCTTCCAATTGTGACAACCAGGAACTGCGGAACTCTCCGCTGCAGTGCAGGCCAATCGTTGGCAGGGGCCCTCCGCCATCAATCCCCACTCGGAAACTTTTCAAAGTAGGCTGCAAGCCTACTCGTAAGTTTCCGCCCAAGTATGGTGCCCAACGTGGGGCCACAAGGGCATCTGGCAGGATGGATTGGAGTGTTCCTTTCCTAACAATTTTGTCCTGAGAGGGAATGAGTGACCAGCAGCAGCTCAAAAATAAGGAGATGGATTATGGGACTTAGGGAAACTAGAGAGCCCTCTCTGAGGCGGTCTCCAGAGGAAGATTTGAAAAAAAACTGAGACCAATGCCAGCAGCTTGTGATGAGACAGTGGTCTTGACCCCACTTGGCAGAAAAGGAAAGGGGAAAAAAAAGAAAAACAATCATTTGGACCCAGGATGCCAACTATGGCCAAAAGTTGGCCTTGGCTGCACCCACCCGCAAAGAAAGGGGCTTGAGGACATGCATTGGGTTAGAGATAACAGGCAAAGAAATAGATGGAAAACATGCTGAAATTTTTGGACAGCTCCGCTCGAGGGATAATAGGGATAAAATAGACTTACGGTCAAATGGTTCTGAAAGGACAGCTCCCCTGCTCTCGCGCCGGCTCTGGTGGAAAGCGAAACCAGTAGGGGGCGCTGGCGCGCACTGTCAAAAGCTGTCAAAACCAGCTGACAGAGCTTTGACAGTTGTCAGGATTCCGGAATTGCTGGAATAATGGCTTCCCGTGGTGCTAGAAACACAAAATTTGGTGAGGGGCTTCAGGGGGCCGCCCCTGTCCTGGTGTGTGGTGTTTCTTCCTCCTGAAGGCCCCGGAAGGGGGTGGGCCGGCTGGATCCGTAGCAGGGGTGCCCTGGGGAGGATTCACCGTCCTCCTCCCCCTCGGTGGCCCCACTGCTGGCTCCGGTCCCAGCTTCGACTCTTCCGACCAGGCCTCTGGCTGCCGCCTCCACACAAGGACCCAGGCGCCAATGGGGAAGTTGTGTACAGGATCATCCAAGGGAACAGGGGGTTGGGAAAGCAGATACCTATTTGGAGAGAAGAAGATAGGAGTAGGAGAAACGGCCTCTCTCTAACAACCACTGGACCCCGCCTCATGCAGGTGTTCAGCGTTCAGAGGGGCCTATGAAGAAAGAGAAAGCACATTGCAAGGAGAAAACTCAATTCCAGCCTTCCAAAAGGAGCCCCCCCACCCTGAGTGAGAGCAAGAAGCATCTAGCCAGGACAGGCCCGCCTGTCGACAGGTCTTAGCCAGCTGTCTCCCGATGGTATGGTCCATCCTCTCGACCCTGCCACTGGCTTCCTCTGATTCCTAGGTTGTTTCTCAAACTCAGGAGACATCGCCCACCGGCCCAGCTGGATGGTTGGACCAGGCGACGACCGGTGAGAAAGAGTCCTGGGGTGTCCCAGCATGGCACTGAGGCCCAAAGGGCGCCCTTGTGGAGGCTGGTGCTCCCCTGCAGTGAGTGACTGGAACTGCAGCAGGCTTACAAACAAATCCCAAGAGTCTTTGAATTACAGCCTGGTGTTTGACAGAGCTGCCAGTTGTCCGTTGGCAGCCCTCCCCCCAACTGGTCCCAAGGGCATGGAGTGCAAAAGGAAGGCAAAGTCAGAGTCTGATGGATGTTGGTAGTCCTTTCCTCAGCCAGTTCCAAGGCTCTGGTGAGGGCGTTGAGCTCCAACCTCTTGGGGCCGAGAGGTGCCAGGGGGAAACGGCCCTGCCCCCACTGGTGGGCGCTGCTGCCATGGATGGAAACTCTTGTTACAAGGTAGGGAGAGGGGAAAGCAGAGAAAGGCTGCAGGCATTCTTATTATTGAGCTGCCTGCTGGGGCACATTTCATCAGTTTCTTCCAATTGTGACAACCAGGAACTGCGGAACTCTCCGCTGCAGTGCAGGCCAATCGTTGGCGGGGGCCCTCCGCCATCACTTGCAAAGAAGTTTCTGGTAAATGATTCACTGGGGACAAAGTCAGTAGTCTGTGAATGTCGGTAACTGCATGTTGATGCACATCATATTCTGATTTGTAACAAAGGCCTAAAACCTACTCTACTGACTATAGTACAATTATAACCTCAATTAAGGGAAGTGGATGTGTTCCTGGGAGGAAAAAAATGGAATGCATAGAGACATATCCCTGCACCACAAAAAGGCCAAGGACTTCAATATGTTTTAGCAAACTTCGTATTGTTGCTCATAAAGTATGGTGCATTTGGGGAATTCAATAAAATGCACCACCACTCCCCTTTAACTCCTCCCTCTATTTTTTTACCCCATTCTGCTTTCCACATTCTTCTAGCTTTAGTTGGCCACATGCTTTAAGAGGTTTGATGTGGTTCGAGTCTTCAGTCTGGAGCCAAATGATTCAGTTAGCTAAACTTATGTTCTTCTCATGTCACACTTGTATGTGTCTACATTGTAGAATTAATACAGTTTGACATCACATTAACTACCTTGGCTCAATGCTATGGAAACATAGGAGCTATAGTTTTACAAGGCCTTTTGCCTTCTCTGCCCAAGAGTGTTTGTAGCGGTTCCTCACCAAACTGCAAATATCAGGATTTCACAGCATCTGGCCTTGGTAGTTAAAGCGGTGTTAAGCTGCATTGATTCTACGGTGTAAATACACCCTTTCTTACCCTTTAGTGCAGTGGTTCTCAACCTGGGGTCCCCAGATGTTTTTGGCCTACAATTCCCAGAAATCCTAACAGCTGGTAAACTGGCTGGGATTTCTGGGAGTTGTAGGCCAAAAACATCTGGGGACCCAAGGTTGAGAAGCACTGCTTTAGTGTGTATTATTGTGTATGTAGTACTGAAAACATGAGTATTGAACTGGGAACTTTTCTTCCAGTACTTCCCTGTTTTCTTCTGTTTTGGCTTCTTTGCCACCCAGACTTTCCAATCTCCTTTTTAACTATTCTCTTCTTCTGGGATGACACACTTTTAGAGATTAGGTATAGCTGGAACTTGGAGTCAAAAGACCTACTAAGCTAAATGCATATCCTTCTGTCTCAATCTAGGTATATTTTAATAATAATAATAATAATAATAATAATAATAATAATAATAATAATAATATCAATTACATGTAAATCTTACCACTTGAGGGAAGGCAAAAGTAGCACTTTTAAAGGAGTCAATAATAAAATGTGGCCCATAAGTTATTAGTGACAACTTGGTGTCATTCTGTGTATATCCCAGATAGTCCTGAAAACAGTCTCATGAAGTAGTTTGAGTGGTGGACTAGGATGCTGAAGGATAAGATTTTGAATTCCCACGCAGTCACAGAAATTCACTGAGGCCCCTTCTATACAGCTATATAAAATCCACCTTGAACTGGATTATATGGCAGTGTGGACTCAGATAACCCAGTTCAAAGCAGATATTGTGGATTATTGGCCTTGATATTCTGAATTATATGGCTATGTGGAAGGACCCTGAGTGACTTTGGCAAGTCACACACACTTAGCCTAAGAGAAAGGCATGGCATACCTATGAATATATTTTGCTGAGAACATTATTATGGGGTTAAGTCAGAGTCCACTTGAAGTCACATAACAAGCACTATCCTGAAAACCATTTGTCCAAATCAGGCCCATAGCCAGGATTTTGATTTGGTGGGGGGGGGGGGCTGAGTTTGATTCGGGGGAGGGCTGAGCATCTGCCCTAGCAAACCTTTTGTATCATTATCCCTGAAGCCCCTCAGCACCCCCCCCCCCTCGACTACATGCCTGGTCCAAATAGTATATTAATTAACAATCATTCAACCAGTTCAACAATTTCAATTACTAATTTCCCTATTTCTATCATTTAACATTACTGAATTGATTTTGCTGCTTTGATGGCAATGGGCTTTTTAAAAGTTTGAAATTATGGTTGCAATTAAATTGATAGAAGGATTAACAGAAATAATTTGATCACTTTTTTAAAATGAGTATCAAGCTGTAAAATGCACCTTCACTAGGCAGGGCCCTCTTGTTTATGTTTGTTTGTTTAAATACTTACAACAACTGATTTAAGTCTAATGAGGCTTATCCTGGAAAAAGAAAAGCCAAGGGCAGAATTAAGGGCAGAATTAAGCACATCAGATGTGTTGCTGCCATTATCGAAAGCAATCATATATCCTCAGTGGTCAAAGCCTCTTCTGGCAATAGCCTCTCTCCGGATTTATCATTAACATCTACATTCTAATACTCCTAAATAATTCAGCACAGCTTTCAGCCTTATGCCCTTGCCTGCCTACCCAGAAACCACTTTCACTATTTACATCACATCCAAGTGATTTTTTTTAAAAAAATGTATTGGATTCTCTATCTTTTCTCTTTGTGGCGATGAAAGCACTTTGCTCTCTCCTTTCAAATGTGGGCAGCTCCTCCCTCCCATAATCTCTCCCACCAAAAAAAAGTATTTATTGGATCTCTAAAATTAGAAAATTATTTAGCCACTCAGAGTGAGAACCATGTGGTCTCAAATTCTCATGCAAATTCTCTTCTAATAATCCTAATGCAGGCAACCCTCCAATCAGAGCGCTATCCCACCCCGGATACCTGATGCCAGCTTTTCTGATAATGTAGGCCACTGAAGCAAATCCAGAGAGACTGTATCGGAAGATGGAGTAGCATCCGAGATTGGTCACTCTGCTACTTTTTTCCCCCTTTCTTTGCTGCCATGCAACAGTGCTGAATTTTCAACATGACTTTTAGCTAAACCATTCCTGCCTGGACCAAACTGAAGACGAAGTTCAGTTTTTTTAAAAGCAAAAATTAAATTAAGACAGAACCTGGATCGAGGAAGAAGAACCAGGGACAGAGGTGCACATCCATGAAAGCATGAGGTGGCTCTTGGGCAGCAGCTGGAAGAAATTTGGACATGCAGACAGGGGAAACTATGACTGGTTAACTAGTGAACCAGGGGTGCCATTGATGGAAACACAGCTGCAGGTCTGTACCTCTTTGTGCTCTATTTAACGGAAGGTCACTCCTTAGAAATCTCTCATTTTGGGGCTGGGGGCTGAAGTTTGCCCATGCTTGGTATATACTATGCATATTATTAATGCTAATGACTATATAAATAATAATAATAATAATAATAATAATAATAAGTGTCCGACGTGTGATCCAATACAACAGCCAGCAGAGTGTCTGCTGTGGAGTCATCTTGTTGTGTTTCAAATAATAATCTTGTAATGTGATATATAGGCTACAATTTATGATATAGTACAATATTTTCTATAATACTAATAGTAAAATAGACTTGTAGTGTATTATATATATTGTGGTATATTAATATAGTACCATATAATAATATATAATTATTATATTATATAATAATATATAATAATAATATTGTAATATAGTAATGCTAATATATTAAATATAACAATATTGAATTACCTTCCTGACTGAATTATCATTATGAGAAGTGTGGAACATACATTCATTTTGTGTATCAATATGGATTCCAAGTCCATTAAAATGTGTTTAACACGTTTTTCTTTGGGATGGGCATTTTTTTTCTGATTTTCTTACCTCACAAGATTGCTAATACAATGATGTGTGAACCTACCAGACAAAAAATATCGAGATAGATTTTTTTTAATAACCATAACATTCAACAAAATTTTAATACTACAATTAAATTGTATCTGGCTTAAGAGTGCCAGTTAAACTAAACTTAGCATTCACTGTGATTTAACAGATTTTGGATTGTTCAGGGGTTTGTTTGTTTTGTGTGTGTGTGTGTGTGGTTTTTTGTTTGTTTGTTTGTTTTGCATTAAAAAGCAATAGTAATAGAATGAATCAACACAGGTAAAAATGAACTCCTCCCTTCTACAAGAATAATACACATCTTTGTCCAATGTTTCCCCCTTTTTTTGCCAAAGAGAGAGGAAACCAATGAGAGGTGGGACTGCCTAATGTAAATAAAGAATACTACAAAACAATCTATGTTCCGTGGTTAAAAATCAAGCAGTAGCTTTAGTCGGAATTTCAATGTTCTTGAGAGAGGTAATTTTCCTTGATATACATGTGAATTTATTTTATTTTGTTAATTCAAACAATTCAAAAAGGTGGGAATTGGACAAAATCAGTTTAATAGAGAGGTTCGGGTGTAGTGAGTATACATAATACACAATGCTGATTTTCTTTCATCTCTCATAAAAAAATATATCTCTAACGTTACCTATTCCTACCAAGAACAACATTTTAAATGATCACAAAGCTAATCACAGTTTTCATCACTTTGTGTTCAAAGCAAAGCATATTCAAATACACCTAATGACTCATGTGCAACAGATGCATTCACTGTTCCTGCATATTGATTCAAGTTTCCTTTCCCTGATGAGATATAAAGCCTGAAGATAGAAGCTGCACTTAAGAATCATTTGGAATGCATCCTATTTATGACTGTGCCGTTAGACTGTAAACAGTATTGAACTGGAACAAAGTCACCTCTTTCCTTTTTATCCCCCCTCCATATAGCAAACCAGTTGTTTTAATTGGAGGTTTGATCTCAAAACAAATAATGGGAGGGTTTTTTTAACTGCAGAACTTAATATGCAGAGTAACCAACTCTGTGATATGTCACAATATTGTGATGGCATAACAAAGAGCTGTTCCCATCTTTAATTGATCTTTTAATTGATATAATCGTAGAGGTGAAAAATACCACAATGGCTATGTAATCCAACCCTGTTCTATGCAGGAAGGCACAAAACACTCCCAACAGATGGCAACTTCTATTTATTTCTTCAATTCTAAGATTTGACATTTTTCCCATATAAACCTCTCTAAAAACAGGGGACGCATTAAGATTGTGGGGATTTTATGTTGAGAGAGCTTTTTTTGTTGTTGGCGGTACTGAAATTAATGTGTGTGCTACAATCAATTATGTCCATAACTAAAGAAATACAGTATTTTGGTGGAATCCCTTCTCCTGGATTTCCTTTTTATTTTTTTTATTTTTTTGTGCCAGGAGCGACTTGAGAAATTGCAAGTTGCTTCTGGTGTGAGAGAATTGGCCATTTGCAAAGACGTTGCCCAGGGGATGCCTGGATGTTTTACCATCCTGTGGGAGGCTTCTCTCGTGTCCCCATGTGGAAAGCTAGAGCTGAAAGGTGGGAGCTCATCCCGCTCCCCAGATTCGAACTGCCAATCTTTCATTCAGCAGTTCTGCTGGCACAAGGGTTTAACCCATTGCACCACCGGGCAGCCCTATTTAATGCTTTCACCATTTAAACTGGAGATACGCTCCTTTACCATAACTTTACTACTTCTGCTCTTCTCTTGATGCATGAAAAATGTTTGAAAGACACTATCTTGAACCTTTGCAAGGATTTCACATAAAAAGCCTTCTCTTTTATGGTACATTGTTGTCTTTGACATAAAGCTCTAATATCGAAAGAAAAGTATACAACATTTGGCATTCTAGATGTTGGGTTGCAACTTTTATCAGACCGAGGCAGCACAACCTTTGTTAAAGCTTCACAAACTGCCAACACATATAACCCTTGTGTCTAATTCTCAAGCTATAAATGGCTTGCTATTGTATGTATATATGATAAAATAGATTTGTGCACATCTATCATATTTCATTATATGTGTGTGGAGATTTTGAAACAATATATACAAAGGAAAAATGGACATTACCCTTACTGAGTGCAAGCAATAATTTATTAAAGTTGTGTATATTCATATGTGACCCCATGAATTTCATCGGTTTTTCTTAGGTACAGAATACTCAGGGCCCTTCCACACAGCCCTATATCCCACAATATCAGAAAATCCCACAATATCTGCTTTGAATTGGGTTGTCTGAACTCACCCTACTATGTATTCCAGTTCAAAGCAGATATTGTGGGACTTTCTGCCTTGACATTCTGGGATACAGGGCTGTGTGGCTTTGCCAGTTCCTTCCTCAGAAATACAGGAAATATTTATTCGAAAACCACACATACTTTAATAATTTATGTTAATAATAAGAGTACTATAATGCAAGCATTCTTTTCACTGAATGTGGGGTGGGAAGCAAATGCAACCGGAAAAAAATAATTACCGGTAATATGGTTCTGGGCTTCTTGCTACTTGAAGTGCATTGTGCCACCACAAATGCCTGTTAAGAGAAAATCAATACCTGTCTATATTTTACCCTGATCTCTTTGTAATTATCTCTTTTTTTTATCATTTCATACATGCCTATAAAGAGTTACTCTTTCCATTTGATCTTAAAGCCATATCGGACCCCACCAAATCTGCAACCTCACTTTCCTCTCCCATATGTCACCTCCTAGGTTGTCAGTCCCTGATGACCAATTGCTCCATGCATTATTTTATACATGTCACCAGATATTTTGTAAGTCAAATGTCTGGTGATGCTATGCCATTTTCACCACTGTGCAAAAGAATACTTTTTTAATGTTCATAAGAATTTTTTTAAAAAAACTTCAATTAGTTTCTTTTACACATGAAAAACAGCTGTTATGAATCCATAGTCTTTCCCAAAGATCTTCTGCCATGAAGACAGTGTAGGAAAGCGCACTGTGAAAACTGCTGTTTTATGGATAGTTTCAAAAAGTAATTTCTGTGGTTGTAAAAAAAAACAACAATTACGTATTGGCACCTGGGTCAGATTTCTTTTCCATATCAGATTCAGAAAAGTGATTATCACCAGGACTGAAGAACAGGAGGAAATGATTAAATGTCCTACTGAAATGCTAATAATATTATACTATGTAACACAATTTTTGTTTTTGGGTTATAAATGTCATTTCCTAATTGATTATATTATTTTAAAAAAACTTGGGGAAAGTTTATTAAACTGCAAAAACTTTGTTTTTGCAGGACATCTTGTAGCACATTTTGCTATAGTTTTTCAATGACTATCTCATAGAGTTTCAACCAATTCAACCTAGTTTGTGGCAGCCACAAAAATGAAGTTTCTGGAATATAACAACGGCTTTCAATATACATACAGAATACATAAACAGGAATAACATTTTCAAACCAGGAACAGAATTGTTTTTTCCAATTTTTTTACATAGTGTTATCAGCTGCTTCCAGCTGATGTAGTTTTTAAAATGTGCACCTGAAATAGTTGGACTAGCAATTAATGTCACTTGTCTTCTAGCCCATAGAAGTCTTACTAAAGGCAAGTATTGTTTCTTGTTGATGAAGAAGAGTACTTCTTGTTTTCTCTCTCCTTCAGATACTGAAGATACACACACAAGGACACTTTCTTCTTTCAGGCTCCCTGAAATCATGTAAAATTCTCAGCAGTTTGTTTATTTGTTGACAGAGGCGGGGTTTGCCCAGATATGAATTTTTCAAAACTTTATGTTTGTGACACATTCTTCAATTTAAATAATGCAATATCTGATTACTATAGTTGCCATCTGGGGATGTTCATGCATACAGTCACTGCCTGAATTGAAAAAAATGTGTTGGCCACACAAAATTTAGTCGTTTTTTTGATCCTAGGCAACATTTCCTACAATGTTTTATTCTGCTGTTTTCCACTTTTGTATTCCAATTGCCTTTTGTTAAAAATTAATCCTGTCTTGGTTCATGATCAATCTCTTCCTGGACCCCAGCATGGAATCTTTCCATTTCTTCTTCAGCTGCTGCTTGCCTCTGTTGTAGAGCTTATACTTGAATTATGGTGATATTGATGGGTTTTTCATGACGTTTATTTATATTTTGGTGATTTTTGATATATCTCTTCATACTATTAATGCCACCCCATTTGTTCTTGGATTTTCATTTCCCGAATAAAATAATTATCTAACTCAAATGCCCTGTGCCTTTAGCTCACTTATCTCAAGTATTGCAATGTTTATATGTTCCATTTCTTTTTGTACAATGTCTAGGTTTCCCTGATTCATGCTTCTCATATTTCATGTTCTTATAATTTGTGTTATGCAGCTTCAGGCATTCCTTTCACATCAACTGCAGAACATTCTTTTGGCTTGAGTCCAGTTGTATCATTAGCCTCAGCTGTACTAATAGTTCTCTTCTTACTGGTACCATCCACCTTGAGAGTCTCATAATCTAGAACCACCTCATATTTCATTTTGGATTGTCTCATCATAGGATTTTCCTGGTAAAAGATATTCAGAAAGTTGACTTTGCCTCTTTCTGTGCAGTACTAACAAGCGTTAGCTACTTTGTCTCTTAGAGGTCCTTTGGCCCCAATCCTGTGCTATCTGACATGGGAGACATTACCAACAGCACTGTAACCATCAGCATCGCTTTTGCCTCACATTTGTTCAGAAGGAGTTTGCCTTTGCCTTCTTCAGGGACTTGCTCAAAATGTCCTAGCTGGGTTCTTATGGCTGAGCAGATATTCACACCTTTGTCTCTAGAGGCATAGTTCAGTGCTCAAATTTAGAATATTTCTGTGAAGAGAAAAGCTATGCTTTTCTTTTTTACAGAACCATTTTGTTTGTTTCTCTTAATCCCAAGTAAGCATCTTATCAAACTCAGTAAGGAAGTGTTAAAATGTCACTTTACTTCTTATTTAAGGGGTGTCATTTGTTTTCCCTTTTATTTATATCTGCTCTTTAAAAGAAAAGGGGTGAGGAAAGTGAATATAGGTACTAAATAGGAAAGTGATTATAGGTGCTGTGAATAGGTTAAGGCTCTCATAAGGCCCTCCTCAATGGGGCAGCCTGTGATGAAGGCGCTGTGTGAGAATGATTGAGAATCACCAAAACATCAGGTGGAGGCACCTTCTGACATCGGATCTGCATATGGGTGATGAACACAAGCTCTGCTCCTGTTTGGTGAAGCTCATTTCTAAAATGCAAATACTACAGGCACAATTTGAATACTACTTGATTAATGCATATAAACACAGGGTTTATACACAGAAACACAGGCTGTTATTCCAAATGGAGCAGATGATGTGTGTGAGCACTGTAATAACTAGTGATAAATGAGGGGACATAAATTGACCATCTTCAAATGTCTGATCCACTTTCCTTCTTCTGTTGCTCTTATAGAGTCAGCACAAAACAAGCTCGACCAAAGAAGATATAGAGCCATTCTTATGCATCATCCTTCCAGCTACCATGATGCTCTTCCTGGCATTCCTGCTGCTCTTCCTCTACAGACGCTGCCAGCATCGCAGCCCACAGGCTCAGATCTTCAGCATCGACCTTCCAGAATCCCTTCCGGAGCACGAAGTGACTGACTTCCTCTCTGTGCTGCCCTGGAGCAGCGAACAAAGCTTTCACTACTCCACGCTTCTCCCCGAGGCGGCCTTTCTCACGGTATGCTTGCCTCCATCTTACGAAGAGGCCACCATGAAAGCCTCTATGGAAGAGGACCACATTCAGCTCTTTCGGGACCCAGTGCCTCCTTATGAAGAAACCAAACAACAGTAAACCCATGAAAAAAGCTTTTGGTTGGAGCTTGCATCCTTTGTTTCTCTTTCTTAAGAAGAAGAAAAATTCTCATAAACAAGGAAATAGTTATAAGCACAAAAACATTGACTGATTATTTTATTCAGTTATGAAAGTTTGAAACAGCAAAGAAAACAAACAGGTCCACCAGACTGCTATGTAAAATGAATTCTCTGCCTCAAACTTTTCTGCACAGATTTGTTTTAAAATGGCTCCATCTGAATTATGCTGGAGATATTATTGCAAAGGCAGACACCCACATTTCTGAAAGGGCTTAATCATTTTTTAAAACATGCACTACCTTTTTGGACATTTTATGAATTTAGGCAACAATTGTATTATGAAAATACAAGTGGTGAAATGAGAGTAAATATGAATATGAAAAGTCAAAACAAAACCATAATGAAAACCCTGATGGTTGCCCCCATAGTCCAGACCGCCCCCCCCCCCCGCCCGCCCCATTGTTCTTAGAGCAGCAGTGAAAGTTTGTATGCAAGTAAAGGAAATCCAAAAAGATCCTGCCATTAGATGGAAGACATGATAGCACAACAAGAAGTACCAATGTGGTGGGAGAACAGAAAGATTTCACATTGTTTTCTAAATCTTAATGAAGAAAACATCACACTTGTAATTCCTCCAATCTGGGCATAAAATGTAGTAAATAAAGCTACATTAAAACAATGAAGTGTTTTTAAAAATCAGCTTTTGGTTTCTTTTTTTACCTCTTCAAATAATAGCATTTAATTGCTCTGCTCATTAGCACATTAGGAAAATGTCTATGTAGCAACAGTTTGGTGTTGAAATTATACGCTGTGAGTGTGTGTGCCCGCGCTCTTATGCATGCTTTCATATCACTTGTGTGTGTGTGCTTTCAAGTCATTTGTCAACTTATGGCGACCTCATGAATCTCATAAGGTTTTTTAGACATAGAATATTCAGAGGTGGTTGGCCACTAGAGCCGGCTCTCAATATTCATGGCATCTGCATGAATTCAACCATCCCTGACTTGAAAATAATCAATAACATATTTCCAAAGGGCAAATCTTGATTTTGCCATTTTACTATACATTGTATACAATGGGACTTGAACAGCCATGGATTTTGGTGTCCAGGAGAGCTCCTGGAACCAAATTCGAGCAGATACCAAAGGCCACCATATATATCTCCATCAGTAACTTAAGAAGGGTGATGACACTTTGAAGTTCAATGTGAGGCTTAATCACACATTTTGCTGCCACTCTTAAGCATATCCAAAATGTATATTTTAGGATCCCATCCATTCACCTTGTTGAGTTCTGCCACCTATAACAGTATGCATGTGTTTGCTAGAAAGTGTTAGAATTGTCACTTGGTAACCAACACAGTTTTATCACTGGTTTCCTGTTATTTCTATTTTAAAACTTTGTGTCATGAACAATTCAGAACAGGTACTGTTTGTCACAAAGTAATATAAATGTGTGAGAAACATTTATCACACTAGATATAAAGTGAATCCACTTTAAATCTGGTTTCTGCCTCCTGCAAAATTCCAGGGTTTGTAGTTTAGTGAGGCTGTTAAAGATTCCTCCCTAAATTACAAATCAGATTTAAAGTGGATTCATTCTCTAGTACGATGAGGTCATAAAATAAAGAAAATAAAATAATTTTGCATGACCACATTTATCAGCTGCTTTAATGCCTGCCCCCGTGCAGCTTTTTGGTGGCCCCAACTCCCTTGGATAATTTTTTCCTGACAATAAAAAGGGAAGGTGATCACTTCTAGAACAGTGGTTTCCCTTTTAATAGCCCTCAACTCTCCCCTCCACAGAGTTTAGTATTAAATAGTACACGTTTTTTCCATTCCAAGGTAGACTTCCAGCACAATAATTTTGGGTGGAGTAGTGTTTGTTTTTAGGATTTACGGCAATCCAAGTGGCCCCTGGTGAGTCCCAGGGTAGAAAGTTGCTCACCTCAATTTCAATGCATACATGGTGTGCCTAATACAGACTGCACATATTAACTTTCAGGTTTTCCTGATTTGTCAAGGACAACTCCTATCAATCCTTTGTTGCTTTACTTTTATGGCTGCTTTTAAAATGTTCCATCTTTTTCTCCTCTTCCCACTTTCTGTTATTGTCCTCAGCTTACTTCAACTGCTGCAAACTTATTTGAAAGTACAAAAGTATTTTGCCCTCAATGGACTCAGCAGTAAGAAGAAGGGGGTGGTTAGAGTCTTGCCCTTTTCAGGAGGCTCAGGCAAAAGCAAATTGCTGCAGCCTCTCCTTGTCTGTTCTTCTTTGTGAATAATTCTTGTCATTTTGACCATGCTTTGATGCTTGTTGGTTATAAATTTCCCAGTTTAAATTGGTGGACCTTGCAGGATATGAGATTGGACCACAGTGAGGGAGGCTAAAAGCCACCTGTCCTCCATGCTGTGATCTAAACCTAAACGATTTGTGCTACTAGGGATGCCTTGCAAGCTATCTCAGGTGAGAATTTGACATTATTTTTTGTTCCCAATGTGCCAGGGATCAGTATTCCCTGGCAACATCTGTTTCTGTTTCTCCTAGAAACTTTCCAGAGACCAGTAGCAGATGGCTTGTGGACAACACTGGTCTATGGCCCACCACTTTACCCAGAAGTACCTTAGAATATGGTAATGAAGATGCTGCTGCTAGCTACACCATTCTCTTGTCTGCTTCTTTACTTTTCATAGATTGTTTTCCAATCACTTACACATCTGAAGCTTTAATGCAATGTTCATATAATCAAACAAAGCTAGTTTTTATCTCATAGTGTCTGCCTCCTGTAACCATATTCATCAATCCAAACACAAATAATGTTCTACCAAGTTAGTTTTAATTGTAGATTAGTGACAAGCATGCACAGAAAGTAGTTAAATTCATCTTATTTTCAATTCATTTAGAGTCTCCACTTTTATTGGTTGTTATCATTTTACTTCCATTTGAAAAAAAGTTGAATAGGGAAGAAGGGCGAGTTTGATTATCAGGCAATTGGGATGTGTTTTTCTCTGAAATTGGCAGCCTTGTTAGGCCTTGAGTGAACAGCTGAAAAGATTGTACAAAATAAAATGGAAGTTAATTGAATCTTCCTGGAGTATATACCGGCAACATTCAAGTCCTTTCCAAGTGAGAATTTCCATTCTAGACAGTGAGTGCATTTCATTATGAGAGCAAGAATGCTGTCACTCTACCAAATGAGTTGCACTGCCTCATTTCACAATTGAAATTGTATCAGCCACACCTTGTAAACTATGTGACCTGTCTGAACCAGTTGTAAGCCTTGCTGTTTATTTATTCCTAGTAGTAATGGTCATGGAGTAATGGAAAGGGCAACCAGTCAATTTTACGTATTTTTAAGCCAACTGACACAGCTAATCTATTATAAGCTTGGGTTTGGAAGTACCCAAAACTAATAACAACAGAAGGAAACCAGGATTTTCATCCTGCCATGGATCTCTATTTGTATCAATAACGTGTGTTGTATACATGGGGAACTGGGGCCCAGTGAAGCTAAAAACTGTTGGGAAATCTTGCTTTATTTGTTATCTTCCTCCAGTCTTGATACAGAATCAAACCGACAATACCAGCTAGAGTATATTTATTTTATTTTATTTTATTTTAATTCAAACATTTATATCCCGTCCTTCTCAATCCCATGAGGGGGGGCTCAGGGCGGCTTACAACTGACAGCCATTAGATGCCAAAAACAACAAACAGTCACAATATAAAGCAAATTCACATTAAATAGACAATTAATTACAAATATACATTAAAATATCAGAACTTTAAAATATGAAAACACAGCCAAGCCTAATCTCAAATCCAAGTCAGCATCCAAAATTCCAGTCCGAGGTTATTATCCATTCCCATGAGTCACTGCAGTTACTGTTCAGTCAGCTGTCTGAATGCTTAGTCCTAAAGCCATGATTTGAACTTTTTTCTAAAGGAAAAGAGAGAGGGTATTGCCCTGATTTCACTGGGGAGTGTGTTCCATAGATGGGGAGGCCACCACCAAGAAGGCCGTGTCTCCCTGCCAGCCACACTTCCGAGGGTGGCGGGATTGAGAGCAGGGCCTCCCCTGACTACTGTAAACTCTGAGGTGGCTTGTAAAGGGAGATATGTCCGAACAAGTAAACTGGGCTGGAAACATATAGGGCTTTATAGGTCAATGGAATGGCAGCCAGTGGAGCTGACATAGCAGGGGGGTGGTGTGCTCCCTGTATGTCGCTCTGGTGAGTAATCTGGCTGCCGCTCATTGGGCTACACATTAAATCAGTAGTTGAATGGTTGAGTCAGCATTTATGTAAATCTACTCCTATTTCCTATTCCCAAACTGACACTACAACTATGGACCAAAGTCACTTCGAAAAGGTCATGCAAAATAGACCAGGATGTAAAAATGATGAATACAGATTTTTTTTCTTATTAATATTTTATTTTTATTTTTGCCATTCTTAACTTTATTTCACTAGCAAAGGGTTGTTTGTAAAGTCAAACATGATCACAGATCAGAATCCCTCCCTGCCTTAAAAGAAATGGGAAGGATTTCGTTGGACAAATAGAATTGTAATTTTTTTTCATGTCAGGAGCGACTTGAGAAATTGCTAGTCACGTCTGGTGTGAGAGAATTGGCTGTCTGCAAGGACGTTGCTCAGAGGATGCCAGGACGTGTTACCATTCTGTGGGAGGCTTCTCTCATGTCCCCGCATGGGAAGTTGGAGTTGACAGACAGGACCTCACCCCACTCCTTGGATTCGAACCGCCGACCTTTCAGTCAGCAGTCCTGCTGGCACAAGGGTTTAACCCATTGCACCACCGTGGGCTCCTATTGTAATCATATATTGCCTTAGTACCGAAAAAGGTACAGCTGCAAAATTGTAACATTTCTAAAACTACTTCTACTAGGGTACTTTTGTGCAAAATAGGGCTTGTGAGAAACCCTATAACGTAAGACCTGGGGGGCCACCTTTCTTTCCCTGTGGCCTTCTAGAAGTCACAAAAGATTATATGCTAAAAATGGAAATGTGTAGAAACAGAATGGTCCATAAAGCAATCACAATCCCCTCTCCAGCATAGTTGAGCTTCCTGACAAGAAAGAGGCTCTACAAAAGGATGGACTCAGAGATGAAAAGTAATAAAAGCAAACAAGCCCAGGCCAGAAGTAAGCCTCTTATAAACCTACTTTTCCCTCCCTGCTTTCCCAATCTCCCTCTACATCCCCGTCTATTTAATTCTCTTTTATGTCAAATACACACACAAAACGAATATGAAATCTGCAACCTT